TCCCCGTCCCGGTCCCGGCGAGGCCGTGCCGAGCTGGCGGCAGAGCACGGTAAGCTCGGGGTCGGAGGGTGTGCGGGCTCCTCCTGCTCCGCTGCCTCCCTCCCCTGCCGCTGAGTCCGTCGCAGCGATAAAGAACAGCCGAAGTTTTCACGAGTTTGCCGAGAGCGCTGGAGGAACCTCCCCTCAGCCCGGTGGAGCGGAGGGACCGGGGATGGGACGTGTAGCTGCTCGGCCCGCGGCTGAGAAGCAGGCTGGGTGGTGGGGTGCGCTTCAGAGCCTCGAACGTGCGCTGTTTCTTGTCGTTATGCCTTTTCTTCCCCACATGTTTTCGTGTAACTTGTTTATAGCAGAGTTTGTAGGCTTTGTTTTGTTCTGCATTTAGTAATCGCTGTGCATGGACAAGAGGCATTCTTCTCCTGTATTTAACCTTGTTCCCTGAGAGAGACCTATTTTCAGTCTAAAGTGTCACCAAGATAGTTCCCAGCAGGCCGGGCCCCGTTGCATAAGCAGACAGGCATGGAGGGGGACAGGTTGTGTAATGGCAGTGACATCATGGGTGGGTGTGGTTGAAGTTTTATAATATAGTGTTGAGAGAGGGTGCAAAGATGAGAGGTTGGAGGCACGATTTTAGACTGTCCTGTGTCGCCCGCAGGTAGTACATCTGGTGCCATGAACGCTTCAGATAGGATCAGTTTTTCAGAGTTTAGTCGTTGTACAGGGAGTCAGATTTGTATGATTGATGCACCTGGGTGGATCCAGTGGCAGATTCCTTTGTCGGTTTTATTTGACTATGAATTTTAACACCGGCTGACCTGTGGGGTTCCATTTTCATTTGTGGTACTTTATTTCTGTTCAGAATTTTAGGAATTAACATTTTTACAGATGAAGTGTATTAACGCTTGTACAGTTGTCTGCAGCGGAGGAAGAAAAGAAAAGCTTTGCATAAGTCTAATCCTTCCAATCTGTTCTGGGGAGATATGTTAGATCTAGTTCCAGAATAAACTGTTTTCAATGTAGGTGGATTAAATCTGATACATTTTATATGCCTGTTGGCAACCTAATTTAAAGAGGTTCAGTTGTGGCCTTCAAGTCTACGGTATTTGCCATGGTGTTTCCAAAATGTAGGGTGTAGGATAGATGTGACCTGAGAAAGTAGCTGATCTATTTTCAATCTTGGAACTGTAAGAAGCAGACTTTATTTGTCTTTGTGTAGTTTAAAGTACAGTGTTGACTTATGCAAGTCATGAAGAAATGGAGTCAAAACTCAGTGTCCTTCAGGGTACAAGCTGATAAATCTGTTATTGATCACAAATATTTACAGAGGTCCTGTTTCATGTTTCAAGATTGCTTTGAAAAAATAAAAGAAAATTAATTCTATGGACTAGTTAATCTTTCTTTTATGGATTAAGCAATAGCATGTAGATATCTATGGGGAAAGAATTTTGATTCCTTTTTTTGTAAAGCTACATCTTAAATTTTGACTTTAAAATGGGTTTAAAATTTGAGAATAGTTACCAGCTCTGACGCTTATCCAAAATTTTTTTTTGTTCAAATTTAGTACATGTGCTAGAATTAAGTGCTAAACCTCAGTTTAAGATCCTTTGTGCTGTTTCGTGCATCTGCAGTCCTGAGAAGTAACAATATTCCAAGTATACTAGCAAAGATACTAAAGAGCTTCATGAATCAGAATGCAGACATATGTTAAATGTGAGTTTAATGCTGTGAGCTCACAACTACAAATTGAAGGTGATTGCAGGCCAATAGAGAACTAATTAACAGCTGCTGGTACACTTTCTATTTTCCTTCAGAACATGAATCTTGAAAACACTTAGAGGTGGAAAAGATGTAGCCTAGGAACTGTATTAATGTTTAAAATAAATCATGTTCTGTTTCAGTGTTTCCTTGCTGCTGATTCATCTCTGTTTCTTTTTAATGCAGACAGAGTTAAAAAGTTGTGATAAACTTAAATCTGATGATGTCCCAAATAAGGCGTCAGCACTAAGCCTTTACTCAACTGGCATCTTTTCATAGCTTTTGTGCACTTCTTGAAACATTTGAAAGAGGAAATATTTGCCATAGTGCAAAAGTGACTTTTGAAATACAAGAGGAATATTAACTTTCATATGGTTAATATAGTCCTTGAAGGGGTTGAAAGGAAATAGTTCAGTTAAAGGAAGTCTATTGGATTAAAATACATGTGTAGCTTGTCTTTAATCAAATATCCTGAAACACACCTGAAATAGGCTTGAGTTTGGTCTGAATCACAGACTCCTTCCCGCTGGGGTGGGACTTAGGAGGTCTGTTGCTCCACCAGGCTCGTGTTCAAAGCAGAATGAACACTGAGTTCAGAGCAGTTTGCTTTTAAAGTTTTGTCCATCTGGACTGTGAAACCTGTAAGGATGAAGATTCCACAGCCTCTCAGGGCAACCTGCTCAAATGTTAATTACTCTCATAGTGAAAAATTTTCTCCTTATTTCAAGTCTGAATTGGCCTTGTTTCAGTTTATAACCATTGTTTCTTTTCTTCCCCCTGTGCACTTAAGTCTGGCTCTACGTCTAGGTAGCATCCTCTTGGATCCTGAAAGGCTGTCAGGTTCTCCTAAGGCCTTCAGGAGTTTTTTTCCACTAAACAAGCCCAGTTCACTCAGCCTCTTCTCATGGGTTGTGTGTTCTAACCCCTGATCACTGGGATGACCCTATAGTGCTTCATTAAATACCATGTCCTAAAGATTTTCTGCACAGTGTTTGGAATGTACGTGTCTTTTTAGTCAGAAGAATTTGGTGTACTATCATAAACCCTATTAAAATCATGCAAGATCAGGCCAGAGATGGTCCATTTATTGGTATGCTTATGCTGACAGCAGCCAAGAACTGATGCTTTGGAATTAATATTAAAAAAATGCATATTGCTTGTGGTTGTTGTGTGTACACCTTTGTATACTTCCCTAGTGTAATAATAATGTACTAATGTAATGTAATTGCAAAGCTTGCTTTCAAACATTCAAGTTTTCTTTAGATTGTAATTCGTAATGTCATCATAACTGGTATGCACAGATCTGCACTGAAAGTACGTGGTATCTTTTTTATTACAATCTTTAGGTATGCTAGAAGTGGATGACTTCTGTATTTACCGTGTTTTAGGTTATTGAAAATTAAGCTTAAGTCGCAAATTGTGTTTCTGCTCTCCTAAATCTTTGGTCTAAGAATATGAGGTGGTTTTGCATCCTCACATTATGGCAAACATTTAAATAAGGTGCTGAAACATCGCAAAACACTATTTTCACAATTAAAAGGCTTAGTAATTAAATTATGCTTGCAAAATTGGACATACAAATTTAGATCCTTTGGTCCTAGAAATATTTAGACCCGATTTGTTACATGTATTGATCATTAGTTGGCAGTGTTTGTGTGTTTAGCAGCAGAGCTAGGGTCCTAGTTAAACACCTTGGCTTAGCCCTGTGTTTTGTACCAGTTCAACTGGAATCATGGTTTCCTCTTTGGACACGTGCTGTGGACTTGAACTCAAATTTTTGTCTTCAAACTACCCTTCACCCATCCCTCAGAAGAGAAGGCTTGGAGTTTCTCAGATCATGTTATACACTTGACAGCCTGAAAAAGATGAGTCTCCCTCTAATGTGCAAATAGGTAGCTTGTCAGAGAGCAAAGACCCACAGTTACTGCTGCTTCTGAAGAAAAGAATTTGTTTTGATACTGTGCTGGACACAAAAGAGAAAAAATGGTCTGAAGAGTTTCAGCTAAGCTCCCACCTTTCTAGGCTGTGTCAGTCACAGAGCCACAGGAAGGCAGGCAGCAGAGTCCTCTTGTGCAGTTGGTATTTCAGTCAGGCAAAGACAGTTGCCCAGACTTCTGTTAATGCAAACATTTTATTATCTCTAAAATACAAATAAACCACAAACCAGGTTTGTGAATATTTGTATTTGAAGGGAAACTCAACTCAAAAGACCAATGAGAGACTCTTTAGTTTCAGCTGTGAAATATTCTCTCCGTTTTGGGAGTTTTAACCCATTCTTTTACATTAAGGTCTATGTTGGAATACATGAGAACGTTAACCAGTCTGGCTTTTAAATGTAAAAGAAGCTAATGTTGGAAATTGTGGAAATTTGAACTAAACATTTTAGAATAGACTGAAGATCGAGTGCTGAATTGACATGAGCCCCTCCACAGAAAACCTTGTTGAAACAAACTTGAACAATTTAATTTTTAGTACTGTTTACAGTAGAACAATGTTTGACTTTATCTCATTCAATGAAAACACAGGTGTATTAAAAAAAAATAAATCAAGAGCAAAGCAGTGTATTGGCGTCTTTTTCCAAGCAACAGCTACAATTATTTGTGTCATAAACCCCCATCATTTCCGTGGCATGGAGACGCACGTGGTTCCCGCTCAGAGGCTGCTGTGCCCGGTGCGGAATGCTGCGTGTTGGACGTACCGACCTTTCCCATTGCAGAGGTTCCGCTTGTGGGGCTGCCGGCTGCCGTCCAAGGCTTTCTCACATTGCCTCCTCTTTCCAGACTGCAGTAGTGATAAAGTCTGATACTTACCAGATGGGTACCATTGTGGAAGTGGCTTCTCTTATCTCCAGCCATAGTTGGAAGGTGTCAGTAGTTATAAAAACAAAGTCAATCTAAAGAAAACTTGAATGTTTGACAGCAAACTTGGCAATACTTAGCCTTTTTAACACAACTGTGGTGTATTCCAGATCTCTCTGGTTTTGAATGGGTGTACTGTAAAGCTAAAATCTACTTAGTCCTCAGGGTTTTTTTGTCTCAGTAGTACCAAGCAATACTTTATTCTGTCAACCTCAGTTTCTTGTTTCTGCAAGATGTATTAAAGGGTCCAAAATTTGATCTTTACGTTGAAAGACATGAGTCTGGAGTTACTGCCACTCTTATTACCTAAGCACTAGAGGTTGAAGGAGAATGTACTCTAGTAATGTTGAAAGTATGGTACAAAAAAGTGGTTACAACATATTACTATGAAAGCATATCTAATAACAAAATACAAATTTCTGAATTATTAAAAATGTTCCTTCATTTTTGTCTTCAGATTCCAGTGACTTGATGCTAAGAGTTTACAGAGCTGAGTCATATGTTGGCCTCCAAGAATATAAAACAGCCATAGAAGATCTAAATTTTGTTATTTCTAAAATGCCAAATTGGCCAGAGGTAAGTTGATATGAACCCTTCATTTTTTCAAAATCTGTGTTTATCTATAAAATTAATGAATTCCAAATTATACTTGCATCAAGGCAAGAACTTGGGTGAGCTACCTTAAATGTTGTTGTGTAAGACATGCAAAATGCTAAAAAGTACTTTAAAATAGTTACTTGTGTGAGACAGGCTAGTGATGAGTATGGCAGGTTAGAGTTGACTGATGTGCCAAGTTAATACTTGGAACTGTTAATTTAGCCTTCGTCAAAAACTTCATGTGTTTTTATTTTGTATCACAACATGAGATGGTGCCTTTGGACAAGGGGTTAAGTGCAGTAGAACTGACTTCGTGGGAACTATTATGAAGCACTTTTTTGTTGTCTATAGTTAACTGGTATTGATTATTTTATTTCTTTGTAAGAACACTTTAATGTGTTCTCCTAAAAGTTATTAAATATTTACAAACTTAACTGCAGCTTAATGTTATTGGACTTGATGGTTGACTGAAATTGTGCAGCCAGCTTTAATTGCTTGAAAGCAGATCTCCTGAGATCTGTATGGTAGGTTGACATACCTGAGTGTTAAAATTTCTTACACTGTTTACAAGGTAGCCCTCTTAAACCTCTGCACTTTGCTGGAGCGTTTATACTTTGATTGTATTTCACAAAGTCAGTGCATTTGAAGCATTATCTGTTCCCTGAGAGCATCACATGAGATGAGTGAGCACTGTTGCCAGTCCAGGACTAGAATTCTTGGCTCTGTTAAGTCAACATTTCTCTCATTTTTTGAGTTTTATTGGTAAAATAGTTTGCTATATAAGTAGGACAATGCAATTTTTCTGTTCCAAATGGTACCAAAGAGTCAAAAAATATTTCGCACAAGCAATAAATTATTTTGCAATAGTATTGGCTAAAAAAACTTGAGCATGCATTTGGGGCCTTTTTTAGTGTCTCCAATACTGGAGTTAGGATAGTTTATGGTGATGTAACTAACCTGTAACAGCTGGGATTTGGCCTTTGTTTTGTTTTTGTTAATTTTGTTAAGAGAAGTACACTTCGCTATTTTAGCTTGGAAAGTGTTTCTTCAAAAAGCCCGAAGAAACTCAGTAGGAACTGAGCTTTGCAAATAGTGCAGGCAGCTGGGGACTCACTGGCCTTCTGAACTGTAAGGTGCTGCATATTGCAGCACTCTCTATGCTCTGAGCACAGCAGGAGCAGCAAGATCTTGCCACACCACGGGGGGCTCACTCCTGCTGTCCTGGTATCTCCTGTGTTCAGCAGTTCCATGGCTACTGCAGGCTCAGACCATCCTACCTTTTTGCCTCTTGGCGTTGGTAGTATTGCCTGCTCTTCTTCTGTACATTTGGAAAGAAACCTCACCTCACTTAGAGGAGCTTGGCTTGATGGATTCCTCTGACAGTTCTTACCTCTGTAGGAAAATTAACTGTCTGTAAGAAGAAGATTAGCCTACTTTCCTTCTTCAGGATGCACCTTAATCAAACTGCCCAAATCCATCAAAGATCCTGCATGCCCTCATCTTACAGCTTTGCTTAGCAGATGCCACTGTTAATAATGACAGTCATTCCATAGAAACTGTATTCTGTTGTGGTTTGTTTTTTGGGTTTGGTTTGGTTTGGTTTTTTTCCCTTTGGTTGTTTTTTTTTTTTATGTTCAGTTTTTGGCCCATTAATCCAAAATCTCTTATGCAACTAGATACTGTTGTTTATCTTTTGTTAGATAACTGTCGATTTTATCTAACACAGATTTGTATTACTGCAAATGCAACTTTTAAAAATTGAGATAAATTGCTTAAGGGACTTCTTGGTTCCAATGTTGTATGACTTTATGTAACAATTTGCGTTTTGTTTCCCTCTTCTTCCCCTGCAAAGGCTCACAAAAGGAGGAAGTGAAGGCCTTTTGTGAATTCAGCACTAGTCAGGTTTTTAACCTTTCATGGAAACCAAGCCAAATTAACTGGAATTGATGCTAATGTCTGCCCTCCCATGACTCTTTTTCAGAAGCTGTAGGGGATGTGTGTTAGGCAAAGCATATAGATCATTCAAACTGTGCACGGGAGAAGCTTGTTCCAGAGCTGCATTCTTTTTGTCATGGGAGTGTCCTAACTCTGCTGTAGTACTTGTAAGATGGATGTTGCAGTTCTGCATACTCCTCCCTAGAAATGTCTTCGTGGTATCTGTTTTTCAGGTCTACTTCCGGAAAGGAAAAGTGCTGCAAGACTCTGGCTTTGTAGGTGATGCCTTACAGCTGTTTCTACAGTGCTTAGCCCTTGATGAGGACTTTCTTCCAGCCAAGCAAGAAGTAGAAAAGGTAATTTTATTTATGAAGCTGAATTAATTCCTTTTTGAAGCTCACTTTATGGTAGACCTTGAGCATCTAAAAATCTTCAGTAGACACAGAGAAGGTTCAGGTGGCAGATTAGTTCCTTTCAAGACATATTCTACTATGTTGAAGAGGTAGTCCTAATGTACACATTTTAAGTACATGTTTAAAAGTCTATATGCTTTTGAAGTTCCTAAATGAAAATGTAGAAAACTGGAAAGCAGGCAGGAAGTTAAACATTCTAAGTGGAACTCTTTCATGCTCAGAGCACAACAGTTTTTCTTTGATGACAAAAATCTAATTAGAAAAGCTGCATGATACTGAATTGATAACATATATCTCTGTTTGAAGAGCTCACTCACTTATAGTAAAAAAGATTTCTAGATAAATTTCTTCTTAGCAATGTAGGTATGTTGGATTCTGCTTCTTCTGAACTGTTCTTTCTCAGTGTTTAAATAAAGGTTTATTTATGAGGGTAACTTCATATAGATTAAAATCTTATTTTTTGTGTGTAGTTTTATAATAAAGCTACATCTAGATCCTTTTGCATTATTATGAACATTTAGTTGTTTGTTTTCTAGACGTTGTGTGATGTGCTGTCACCAGAGACGTTAGGAGAGAGTCTGAAGGAATCTGCTTGGAATTCACCACATATTCGAAATAAACCTTTTATACTTGGTTCTGAGGGGATTGATTCTTACTGCAACTTACAGCTTTGTCCTGAACAGGTAACAAAAGCTGTGGAATAACTTTTATTTTTGGCTGATATGCAAACATTAGGCATTCTAATTATCCTTATTTGTCATACTTAATTTCCAGCTTAAACACCAACTTTCTGCAATTGGCTAAATTGGAAGAAAAGAATTGTGATATGGGAGTAAAGTATTTTCATTTGGAGTGTTAGACTCCTCATTCCAGTGAACTAGTTATTAGAAGGTACTGAGATTTTATATTAGTGACCTCAAAATAAAGAGAAAAGGTTTTTCTCCTCTTTGAAGCAGATGAAGATTTTTAAATAGTTAATGCCAAACAAGTTTGACTACTGTCTTGATTTAGCAAATTTCTGCAGTTAAATGATAAACTGTGGGTATCATTTTGGCTTATGTATCTTTACATGTTTGCACTGTACAAACTTAGATTTGTGTTATTTTTTTAAGTACAGTTCAGTTCATCTTACTATTACAGAGCTTAGGAGGATCAGTTGTACTGGAACCTGTCAGTGGAAGTTTAAATCGTGCACAGTCTGCTCATGCTCTTAACTCAGCAAAAGACCTTGGCAAGGAAGATGGCTTAAAGAGAGTGTCTTCTGAGCCCCTTCTCTCCAGCCAGGAAAAAGGTGCTTTGTTGAAAAGAAAGCTTTCCTTTTCAGAACAGGACACAGTGATATGTGAAGATGGAAGAAACAAACACAAAAAGCAAGGAGGTAAACAGTCACTTCCTTTGACATTTAAAGTATTTAATGCATTGTGCCTTTCTTTGAAGGAGTATTTTTGTCTTGCTTTTCCTTAGAAAGTATGAAGAGAGACATGACACTGGCTTTTGGAACAATTCCAGAGGATTTGATTGATGTATCAGATTTTGAGTGCTCTTTATGCATGAGGTAAGATTTTCTACTTGTTTTAGTACTTCTGTTACAGATGCTGGCTACATATCTGTTACTAATATAAACTGAGGTATTTATAGATTGTTATATAAGTAGTTATATAGATTGTTTATAAGTTCTGATATCAGTCAATACTTTTCAGCCTTCCTGTATCCCTGCAGTTAAGCTTATTTAAATGTATCATTTGCTATAATGCTATATAATAGAGCATTATTTTAATCAAGTTGCCTTATAAATTAAACTTGACATTAACTGGTAACCCTAAAAAGACAGGATCTTTTGTGGTTAAATGTTAAGGGCTTTTTTAGTCAATGTTTAACTTCTTATTTTGAGAAGTCTAATTCATAGAAGTATTGTCTGTGAACATCATATTTATCTGGAAGATGTAGATACTTTAGAATGTTAGCCTACTTAAATGTAGGTGATGTATTTGAAAGGTCATATTGAGCTGCCCTGGTTTTAGGAATAAATACCTTAAAACGCACAGTGTATACCAAGTGGTCCATAGTTATTTTACTAGGATGTAATACTTCTATTAGCAACTTAGCTCCTCAAACCACATAGTTTTGCATATTCTGAATCTACGTAATGAGACCAAAATTTTTCTACGTTGGGATATTTTCATATGTAAAGTGTTTAAAATGTGTCCAGATTCCTCAAAACAAAAAATGAGTGGCGTAGTAGTAAATGGAAGCAAACTGCAGTATGGGGGAAAAAGCAGAATAAGGAGACATGGGTTTAATTTTTCTTTGCTTTGTTATGGTATAACTAGGCTTAAAGAGGTGGTTCACTGACTTTTTTTAGCAAAACACACACTTGCCACAGCATCTAACTTCTAGTAATTCTGTTTCAGGTTATTCTATGAGCCAGTGACAACCCCTTGTGGACATACTTTTTGCAAAGGTTGCTTGGAACGGTGTTTAGACCATGCTCCTCAGTGTCCACTCTGTAAGGAGAGTTTGAAAGAGGTACTGTTTCTCAGTAGAGCTCACAAATACAAATACTTTATAATTTTAAAGGCTGTTCCACACAAACCCAACAACTTGGATTCACTTGGGTTATCGATTTCTGCTAGAAAGGGAAAAACTTGAGGCAAACTTTGTCCAGCACAAGTTGATTGGGTTTGCTTCAGGCTTTTAGAGGCTTTATATTTCTGTTATGTTTCTCTGTCTGCTTTATTGGTGTAATTAAATCCTGCATGTTTGTAAACTTTGGTAACTGTTTAGTAAAACCTCTCTGCAATTTCTGTAAACTTGCCTTACTTGTGTGACTATAATCAGGGAAATCAAATCAGTCTCTGGTAAGTACAGAAACACAAACCAAGTTAGACACTCAAGTTGTCAGACACTAAGAACTAAAATAGAGAATCTAATTTTCAAACATTAAAGTAATATTAGCTGTTAAGAAATTGAACGTGAGAACATCTGAACTTTAAGTTTTCATGGATTTAAACCTAATTGATGACATATCTCATATATCATGGTTTTAAATGAAAGCTGCATTTTCTCAAGCCTTTTGTTAATATGTTATGAAAAGAAATACTAATTTTTTATTTCTTACAGTACCTTGCAAGCAGAAAATACAGCACCACAGAACTGCTGGAAGAATTAATAATGAAATATTTGTCTGATGAATTATATGAGAGAAAAAGAATTCATGCAGAAGAAACTGCTGAACACTCAAAGTAAGCTTGCTGTCTTTTAAAATCTACAAAACTTGAGAGATGAGTATGGAAATAATTTTTAGAAATATTTTCTCTTTTTTGTGATTATTAATAATGGTATATTATGGAAGCAAAAAGGAGTACCATAGACATGTTAATTTGGTGTCTTAAATGTGTATTTCAGAAAATTAACAGTTATTTAACCACTGTGGAAATAAAAAAATAGTTTTAAAAAAATCACACTTTGACAGTAGCGATATGAGGCTCTTAAGTCCTATACAAAATACGTTTTTGCAAGGTAAAAAAAATTACACCCTGGGTTCTGTCCTGTGATCTGGAGTCCATCATTGAAAATAATCTAAATGGTGACCTAGCTGCCATGTAGTCACTGCTCCATCTTTTTAGTTCCAGGAAAACTGACTTTGAGGGTATAATGGCTTGTATGGCTCAAATGAAAACAGAGAGAAAAAACATAATTAACACCCCGTCCCCAAAACAGAGCCCTTCATTCACTAACTTAGATACTCACTAGGTAACTGTGAGGCTTACTGTCCAGTGTGTATTCAAATCAGTACACAGATACTCTGTCACCCTTATTAGTAGGTGTTCTTAATGTTTACCAAAGTTATTACAATATGCTTATTAAACTTTGAAAAGAGTGTTTTATAATCTCAAATGTAGCAAAGATTCGGGAAAAAAGAAACAACTTGTCTTGGCATAGTTCAGTGTTTAGATTTTTAAGACTCGTATTTCTTTTGATGTTCTCTTGAAGCTTGACCAAGAATGTTCCAATGTTTGTTTGCACTATGGCATATCCCACTGTGCCTTGCCCTCTGCACGTTTTTGAGCCAAGATACCGACTAATGATTCGCAGAAGTATGGAAACTGGAACTAAACAGTTTGGGATGTGTATAAGTGATTCTCAAAATGGGTAGGTTTACATGCTACTTTGAAGCTTCTTACCTCTTACCTCTCTTTTCTAGTTATAAAAGGTGTCCTTTCAGAAGCATGCAATTGCATTACTGACAAGGTCTCTTTTCTAGCTTTGCAGATTATGGATGCATGCTGCAAATCAGGAATGTTCATTTTCTACCTGATGGACGGTCTGTTGTTGATACAGTTGGTGGAAAGAGATTTAGAGTTTTACGGAGAGGAATGAAAGATGGTTATTGCACTGCAGACATTGAATATTTGGAAGATGTCAAGGTATCCAGAATGCTGTCTAAATGCTTACAGGCTTTAATATCTCAAGAGTCTTGGTTTCTTCTTGAGAGTTCCGTGTCAAGTTCTTAGGTCCCTAGACCATGGAAAGATTCAGCACCAGCACATGGAAGAAATGGGAGCTAGCTTAATTTTTTTGTTATTATAAAGCAACAAAGAAATACTGTGGGGTTTGTTTGAACAATGGCTTGTAGTTGTAGCTTTTAAAAATACTGGAGGATTTCTTTACTAATTACTCATCAGCAATCAAGGTTCAGGAGAATGCACAAAATACCTCTAAATATAGTTGAAATTGAATGTTTCTTGATCTTTAGCTTTAAGGACTTGTTTCTTTATTTCTGATTTTTTATAACTTCCTGTAGGTTGCTGATGGAGAACAACTAAAGAAACTGAGAGAACTTCACAATTTTGTTTACAATCAAGCCTGCAGTTGGTTTCAAAACTTAAGAGACAAATTTCGCACACAAATTCTTCAGCACTTCGGGCCAATGCCTGACAGGGAGGAAAATATACAGGTGAGATATTATTTAATATCAATCAGATGCTTATTTCTAAAAGTAGGACAGCTGTTAACAACTGCAAAACATTAAAAGACCCACATTTTCCCCAGCTTTGAAGGCAGTAAGGCTAGTGTCGTGCTTCTCTTACGACGTGCAGGAAAGGACAATTCTGTCCCTGTTCAACAGTTTTTGCAGGAAAAGATGATATGCTGCTGTGAAGATAAAACTAATAAACTAAGTTGTAAGTCCCAGTAGCATTTTAAACTCCTGATCTCTGTAAAGCTGTTAGAATTCAAATGGATAAGCTCCCTAGATTTTCTTTTTGGGACACCTGCAGGCAGAAGTATTTGGCAAAGAGGTGATTGCGAACAACACTCTCCACCTTTCTGAGCTAGTGCTGTAAACTGCTGCAGCTGCTAGGGTTTGACAGATGTTTCTTGAAGTAGTTGCAGCAATCTGTTTTAATGGTCATTATAAACAGTTAATGAGTGTTGGTGAAATCCTGAGAATGGCTGCTGGAGAAAAGTAGCATTTAAAAATATGTAACGTGTGGCTTTCCATGTGGAATTACATATGAAGTGGAATCTTACGAGAGCCTGTCCCTCAGCCATCTGCTACATACTTTCTTGAGACTCTATTACCTGATCTGGGAGGATTGCAGATGCTGTGGAGGGCAAGTGCATGAATTCAGAAGTGATCTTAGGACAATTTAATAAAAAAAACTTATTTAAAACAACACACTAGGGGAGAGGAATAAATGTTCAAAACCAAGGGAACTAGTAGGGCAGAAGTACTGTGTATGTATCTGAGATTTATAATAGAACACAAATGTGTCAGCTGTGATACCTATGCAAGGGAGAAAGTGTCATCCTAGAGTGTACTACTACCAGTAATGTTTTTGCAAGTTATTTGAGGGAATTAATCTTCTCTGCAGTGCTAGGATTTCTGCTGAGGAGTATTATGTCCAGTTCTGGGAATGACATGTGAGGCTTGGTATAGAGAAGTACAGGAAAAAGTTAAATAGGATGTTTTATCATCTTAGAAGAAACTGATTAAGTAGTCCTGCTCTGAGTAGGAGGTAGTGAGAAGGGACTGGAATTAGGAGGTGATACAGGAGTCCTTCAGATGTAACGAAGACTAATGAGAACATTTGGCTTTGAGAATATTCAAACCTCAAGAATAGCATGGCAGCCATTTAAATAGGTTTAGTTTTTATCAGGGAGGTTTGTTATTAGGTGATTGTCCTAAACTTAGCCAGGTTTGCCCAGGGAAGCTCTGAGCTTTCTTTGTTCTCTTAGTAATTGCTTTATCAAGCTTAAAGTGCACTATTTGACTTCTCAGCTGGGGAGGGATCAGAATAGTTCCCTTCAGAACACTTCTCATCTCACGGCTCTGGAACCTCTCTAGTTAGTATCAAACTAGTCTTTGTCATGGATGACTTTGTCCCTTGATGTCTTCATGTTAGCCAACTGTATTACATTGATCATGGGTAACCAACTTACATTTTGTTTTTAGGTAATGCCCAATGGTCCTGCTTGGTGTTGGTGGCTTTTAGCTGTTCTCCCAGTAGACCCCAGATATCAGCTGTCAGTTCTCTCCATGATGTCTTTGAAAGACCGTCTGATAAAAATCCAACATATACTGACATATTTTTCTAGAGACCAGTCCAAGTGACTAACCGCCTGGGTCTTCCTGAAAAGTTACTCTGTTCTGGTTGTAGTAGCAGCTGGAATTTTTGCTGCCTTTGCACATCTAGCGCTGGTTTGAAGAGTGTAATGGAACTGCATTTTCTCTCTCCTTCCCACCCTCCTTGCTGAACCATGTGGTTCTCTGAATGCACACTTTCTTCAGCTACAAGAGAAGACCACTGACAGTTGCACAAAGTCAATCCAGCTGGATATGTTTTTCACGTTTTCCGTGTTACAATTTGCACTATATAGAAGAGAACTTTTTTGAGACTTGGTAATTTTAGCCACTGACTTTGTAAAGCTGTGGGAAGTGCAGGACTTAAGGCTGACAGTCCAAGTTTACAACATTGAGGAGGTATTAAAGGTTTTGCAAATATTTGCCTCATACAACTGTTCTTTTGCTGTTTGCACAAATATTTGAAACATAGCATTGAATGTCACTGTTGACTATTACTACTCGTTGAATTATCTTGACCATGGATATGGCTCAGATTTTTAAGTTACCATGTAAATGTATGCATCACAAAAGAGGTGACATTATGAACTGTATGCTGAACTGAGAGCCAATTTTAAGGAACAAAAGCAGGAAAAAAAAAGGTACTTATGTCTAAAAATACTTAAAACTGTGAATATGGTTTACAGACCTAGGCCCATACATGTTAAAGAGAAAACTGAAAACTTAATGCTCCTACCAGTTACATTTCTGCGGGGCTTTCCAGGCTGGCTGTTCTTCCAGAGCACACACTTAGTTTCTAGAGCTTAGAAGAAGAAATCCTAGAGCGTGTATGTGTGTGTGTGTGTGTATTGGGGATTGTGCATCCAGCATTTAAAAGCTTAACATTTTATTTGAACTTTTTAAGTTGGTGCAAAGGTGAGTTCTATGCCTTATTCATATCAACAGTAGAGCACACTGAAGTGGCAAGGTTAGCATCATGCTGCCAATAGGTACTTTTTTGTAATTAAAGGTTTGCATATTTGGGAATATGTCTGATACTGGCTTTCTTGTATGTAAATCATTTGTAAAATATTTCTTAAATCTTGCTTTTGCTAATATATTTAATTTTCAATAAAAGCTAAAAGTTTGTAATATTTTTAACTTTATCAGAAACTAAAAATCATTTGCATTTTCCACGTGCTTCTATTAGTGGATCTTAAGTAAGCCCAGAAGTAGCTGTTAAACCTACATCAGCGTTGAGGGCAGTTCATGACATAGTTGATGGGTACATAATCTGTTTCTGATGATAGTACCTGTCTCAGACTCGTTATTGGTCAGACAGGTGGTTTTTTTTTCCTCTGTGCCCTGCTTTTGTATCTCTTTGTTTAAATTAAGGTGGTTTCAGGTATGAGGTTTGCATTTCACAAAGATTAAAAGTTGTGGGAAAGTTCTTGCGGCACGGTTGGGTGTTACAGATTTGCTCATCAGATGCTCTGGCCTTTTTCTATTAGAGTTACTACAGGTGACCCAAAATCTGCTGGATCACTTTTGAATGTGGCCTTCTGTTTAGGGCAAATTTCCCCTTTTTCGTATGAATAACGTCCCAGATTAATATTTGGAAAGCACTATTTGTGTAATAAAAGAGGAAATAGGATCCTCTATTTCTCCATCTCGGTACTTATAACCTTAGAAACTTAATCTTTGTATCATCATGACCTTCTTAAGAATGCAGGTGACATGATTTTATTTTTTTCTTGACGGTGAAAACTCCCTGTAGCCAGGCTAGAAATACCCAAATAACCCAGGAGTAAATATCTTTTACTGCCTAAGAGCTTTAGTTTTGAAATTGAGTATTCCCTAGTCTACTGGAAATGGGGCTTCTGGGCGTTACTTCATATGTTCCCATTACTTTTTTATTAAAACAAAAATTCATATAGAGTGTCAGTTGGCTTGCACTGTATATATAAAATCTACTCCTGGAATTGTAGACCATGGAAGAGAGAGCTTTATTGAAAAGAAACAGGAGGGGGAAAAAAAGAAAGGCAAAGTTACTGAGATTAACATATGCTGCATTAGGGCTGATCATACGTACTACTGCTCAGTAACTATTCCATGCATGTGATCGGTGTTGGTGCTGTTGGAATGATGTGAAATTGAGAATGGGGAGAAAAGATTTATTTTTTTTTTAAAGGGGATTTTTAAGTTGGAGTTTTCTTCAAGTGGTGGTTTTGTGGACCAGGTATTGCCACTTTGTGCAGTTAGAATGGGGCAGAACAACAGTCTTGCCTGAATGCTGGCACAGACCTTTCAGTCAAGATCATGAAGAGCAATACCATGCTGAAGTTTGTAGATAGTGATCTGAATTAGGAAGGTCCTTCCTGGCCCTTTTGATTATTTTAAAAAATATTTTCTTCCCCATGCCACACAGCCAGGGTTCTTTAGCTAGTGAACAATAAAATGGCAACAGACTGAGGACCAAGTCTGATCAATCTATATTATTATAATAAAGGTGACAGCCAGTGTAATTAAGCCTGAGTGGAACGCTGGCAATCTAGGCATGAGTGAAAGGGAAAAGGGGGAAGGCCACGTGCTGTGTAGGCAAGGTGTAATACTGCTGGTAACTAGTCTTACCTGATGATGAGCAACGGTCAGGGAATTTGTCAGCCTCTCCTGTGTTGTGTCACAACACAAGGACCTCTTCACCAAGCAGCACTCGTGGACCAGCTGAGAACTACTCTAAGTTAGTGTTAGTGCACCTTATATATGGGATTGTTCCTTCCCCATGCAGTCAATTGACAAGTTGATACAGACACATTCTTTACATAAGTGTGAGAACAAAACTAGATGTGTCTCAAAAGGCTGGTGACCTCTAAGTAGCTGTATGTTAATATGGTTGTAAACTTCAACATGAGTGACTAGAGTCACTGTGCTGTGAAGTATCTGCCCAGAACTGATGTGTATTTTTCAAATCTTTCTGGCAAGAACATTTTCCCAGTTTCACTAAACTGTGGCAAGAGATCTCACTGAATTTCTTATTTAATGATTAATAGTCACCTCTAGTCTCTTCACCTTAAGTTACTCTTGACAAACATTACTTCTTGTAACAGCTTGGTGCCCTGTGTGAGAACTAATGAACTTTAGGTTCAGGAACATCCTTTTTCTCAGTGTGAAAGGGAAATCTTATGTTTCTCCATCTAACTTGATTTATCTTTTGGAAACTGGCAAATAGACAAACTTCATCCTTTTTAGCAAATTTCTCTTTAGCACATTCTTTTTAGCATATTGTTTCTCTGTGGGCCTTTTACTGGTTCTAAGTTTTGTTAGGGACAATATGCAAAGGTGGCTATAAAATACAGTTGTGGGGGTGGCTATGAAACTTGAAGCAAGGCTGCAACATTAGTAGGGAGAAATGTTTGCTCTGAACTCCATGACAGACTGGGCCAGAGTCTAACACTGCTCGAGGCTTTACAAGACTTCCTTTCACTCATCCTTTTGGTTTTGTTATCTAATCCATGCCTTGGAGCTCTGTCTCAGTGTGTGTGGGGTGGGATAAGTATCTGCTAAATGCTGAAGTCTTACTGTAGTGTCATTTGTATTATTTACAGGTGAGACAGAGTAGAGTTTGTGTAGCACAACTGAGTCTTCTGCACACGGGAGACTTGCAGTGCAATGCAGCTCACCTGACCTTACCAGCTGGGGCAGGGACAAGTCCCAGGGAGAATGCTGAAACTTTGGCTTTAGGCAGGTCTTCAGGAGCAGCAGACCAGCCACAACTGCCTGGCTGGCACTGACCAAGTCTCAGATGTTGCTGTCAGTATCATCTTTGGCTGTAGAAACCTGGCTATCTGCAGCTAGATTTCTGATGGGAAGAAGGTTGTTCCAGTTAGTTAGCAGATGTGAGATACCTGTTTAAGAATTACTGTTGGTATCACACTAAAATCCATCCATTACTCTCTCTTTATGTGCTTTTCTACAATTAAAAAAACCCAACAAATCTATAATTTGTTTAATGCTAGGATGCAAGTTATTCTAAAACATTGACCAAACCAATGCAAAACAGAGTCTACTGAGTTTTGAGCCTTCATCTTTGTGGAAGTTATACTTTGATGGTTGTATCTGTGACTGCTTTTACAAGCAAAAGCAAAGAGCAGGATTTACATCATGGATTTAAAAATGTAATTGCACTAGTGATAGTGGAAGTGATGTAGCTTAAATGTAGTCAGGAGTGCCTATGAGTATGTGGCAGGCTCTCCAGGACAAAAAAGTTTTTAACGTTAGAAGCTGCTAAAGAAGTCATTATATGTCTAGTTGAGGGGCTTTGTTTTGTTTGGTAAGATGGAAGAATGTCCTATATGGGAAATAACTTCTAAAAGCAGACTGAATGTGAACCTGTGCTAGCTAGGAAGGTGGCCATTTACTAGATGTTGAAGTGTGCTAGCAAAGAGAAATGGTGTAATAGGAAACTGGGGACAGGGAGCTGTGCTGCTGTATTGAGACAAGTACAGTTGCTTTCCAATTCAAATAGAAATTCTCTGGATCTGGGTGTCTTAGTCTACTTAATTATATCATCTGTGTTAGTGTTGGTTCCCAGCGTTCAAGAGCTTTCTGGTCCATCAGCTAGGAACGCTTGTATCAGCATAAAAAGCTACACCAGGTGCTTGGCAAGGTGGGCTCACTTCTCCCTGACACTGCTGCAAAGTGCTGGTGGTTGCTTAAGAGTTTTCTTTGTTTTCCATTTTTCTTCCTCTCCCCCCCTTTGCATCAGACCTGACTTACTTCTGACCAAAGGCTACTTGCCGGGGCTGCCACAGCCCCCACTCTGTCCTCTGCCAGTTGATCAGGTCTGTTCATCAGCAGTTCCAGCCTTCTGCTGAATCCTGCTAGGAGGGGAGGGCGGAGCTCTTGCAAAGACAAACCTCTGCTTTTCTCTGAAAAATTATCCTTCAAAAGGTTTGAACTTGATGCTTGATATTGTCAAGCGTCTGCTGAGCTTTTGGCAACTTGTTTGCTGTGATAGTTTTCTATTAAGATATCCCCTTACTGGTAACGACATGACAGCAGGAGGGGTAAGAGAAGAAAAGCTGTTCTAGTTAACTACCCAGTTCCAAGCAAGTACATCCACAATTCCTTCTTCAAGAAGTTTTGAATTTTATCTTCCATGGGGAACAACAAATCTGTCTTCTTCTGCTTAAAAATAAGATTTGTTACAGGTATTTGCATTTTTTAAATGGAGTTGGAATACATTTCAGTAACCCATGTATGTAATAGTTTTTGTGAAGGAAAAAAAAAACCCACTTTTTTAAAAATTTAAGAATGTTTGGATTGTTTTTAAAATTGGACCAAAAAAAAACCCCAAGTGCTACAAGAACAATCTCTGGCTGAAGAAATTTTCATGTTACTACATCAATGTAATAATTGGAATGCTGAACCAAGGGGAATAATTTTCATTTCATAGCAGAAGCTTTGTGAAGAAATTCCAGCTGAACTGCTGACAGGCAGCGCTTCAGCCTTTAGGAAAAC